AAGCACTGTCTCGTCCCTGAAGTAAAGCACTGTCTCGTCCCTGAAGTATAGCACTGTCTCGTCCCTGAAGTATAGCACTGTCTCGTCCCTGAAGTATAGCACTGTCTTGTCCATGAAGTTAGTAAAGACTTACTAAAAAAGCAGATTTCTTCCACTGATTCCCTCGTAACGTTCTGTACATACGACCAGAGAAGTATCCAGCAAATAGTCTGTCATAAAGATACAAATTATTAATAATTTAAAATAATCAATTCAGTACTTTAATAAATATATCAACATTTAAAAGTTGTGGTAATACAATACTAGACTATGAACATATGGGAATTTTCATCAAAACACAAAAAAAATTGAATAATCCCTGTTTCCTCTATATGCTAGAGGTCAGTTATGTATATTATTAGATACGGTAACAAGAGTGCATGTGTGTCACATCATTGTAACTTCTGTATCGTTAGCCGGACACGGCTGGAAGGTCAAAATAATAAATATATATATAAATGTATAATGTTATGAGATTTAAGCTATTTCATCTAAAAGCTTGTGTTTGTGTTATAATTTGTAGTCATTCTAGAATGAAGGAAGCATAATTTATATTTTGTTCTTAATTTTTTATTGAGGTTACGAAGTTGGTCATATCGAACCAACCCATACAGAAACACACTAGTGAAAATAACAAATAAAATATATCAAAAAAATTTGATAATTATTTGGAGATTACAAAGATTTCACATGTGAAATTTGAAAATGTTCAAATGCATTAAAGTATTTTTAATCTTAAAATAAAAATTACTTTGCATGTTGGATGGTCAACATTCTGAAAGAAAAAGGTTTACAAGAAAATCTTTAATTAAAGAATCTTAATACTCAATTTAAAAACCTGATATTTTGTGAGTGAAAGTAGTGTTTACCAATTTTGTAAACATGTGCATACATTATGAAAAATCATAATATAATTATTCTCACGGATACTTTCATGGTTACGAACTGGGTGGATTCCACCTTCCACCCAGTTCGTAATGAAAGGGTTAAAATATCTTTTCATTTCAGAGCTTCTTTGGAACTGACTCTACAAAAACTCTTGTCTTCATGAATATTACTTGCCCCGTGAAAACAAAAAAAGAATGGTAGATGGAGCCTTGATGATCAAAATTCAGTCCATGATAATAAAAAGAAAGAAAACTGGTATTCAAATAATCAATACTCACCCCATGATAACAAAAAGAAGGATATAATCAATATTCACCCCATGATAACAAAATAAACGATATAATCAATACTTACACCATGAAGACAAAAAGAGGGATATAATCAATATTCACCCCATGATAACAAAAAGAATGATATAATCAATACTCACCCCATGATAACAAAAAGAAGGATATAGTCAATATTCACCCCATGATAACAAAAAGAAGGATATAATCAATACTTACCCCATGAAGACAAAAAGAAAGATAGCTACAGTCATAAGAGCACCCCGTGAAGCAGGTGATAACATACCCAGCATTGCAAAAACTGAATAAAAAAAGGAAAGAATTATAGACAACAACGATAAATGTTGAAACAATTGAAACTTTAATAAATTAAAAGAATAAAACACAAAAATGCAATATTTGTTAACTTTCAATGGTTTTTATTTAGGCATTTACTGACAACTTTCATTAATAATTTTTAATCAAAGCTCCTTAATGATTGGTTAAAGAAAACTTGCTGTTAGCCTATAATCCTTGAGCCTCCAGTGAAGATTATTATTTTGGGCTTAACTTTTACTTCTTTTTTAACTGATAACAATAATGGGATATTATGTCATCTTAATGTTCATTCCTTGTGGTCAAAGAACTTACAGAAAAATGTTATGAAAGATGTATTAAATGTAGCACTCTCTAAAAATATTTAAAACACAATGAATGCTCTAACAAAGTCATGTTTAATTATTTTATAGCTGAGTGGTATTTTAGTTCAGTGTGACTAACTACAAACTCAAATGTTTGTGAACTCTAATTTTAGAAGTGTTAGATACTGCAAATGGGTCTTAAAAGCCAACCCTAACAGGGGAATTATGATACACACTAAACGTATACTATATGTATATTAACATAAACAGGAGTACTTACTGTACATATTAGCATAAACAGCAGTAACTACTATATATATTAACATAAACAGCAGTACCTACTATATATATTAACATAAACAGGAGTACTTACTATACATATTAGCATAAACAGCAGTAACTACTATATACATTAACACAGACAGGTGTACTTACTATATATATTAACATAAACAGCAATACCTACTATATATATTAACATAAACAGGAGTACTTACTATACATATTAGCATAAACAGCAGTAACTACTATATACATTAATACAGACAGGTGTACTTACTATATATATTAACATAAACAGCAGTACCTACTATATATATTAACATAAACAGGAGTACTTACTATATATATTAACATAAACAGCAGTAACTACTATATATATTAACACAAACAGGTGTACTTACTATATATATATATATAGTAGGTACTGCTGTTTATGCTAATATATATAGTAAGTACTCCTGTTTGTGTTAATATATATAGTAGTTACTGCTGTTTATGTTAATATATATAGTAAGTACTCCTGTTTATGTTAATATATATAGTAGGTACTGCTGTTTATGTTAATATATATACATTAACACAAACAGGAGTACTTACTATATATATTAGCATAAACAGCAGTACCTACTATACATATTAACATAAACAGCAGTACCTACTATACATATTAGCATAAACAGCAGTACCTACTATATATATATATATTAACATAAACAGGAGTAACTACTATATATATTAATACAAACAGGAGTACTTACTATATATATTAACATAAACAGCAGTAACTACTATATATATTAACATAAACAGGAGTACTTACTATATATATTAACATAAACAGCAGTAACTACTATATATATTAACATAAACAGGAGTACTTACTATATATATTA